AAAAAAAAAAAAAAAAAAAAAGCCCACTTTCAATAAGAGCACTCAAACATTGTATGAATATGAATCTTAAAGAGACTTTTCAGGTTCACAATTCAATCTAAAGCTCAAACCATGGCACAAGATGGCAATTAGGAGAGAGTTAGTAAAATAAAATTGTATTTGATGCAATGAAAATGTCATTTTATTTTGAATTTAATTGCACAAAGTCACTGTATTAACCAATTTAGTTATTAATGCAATATGTGTTCAGCTGGCAGAGAGTTCAATTAATAATTATTTGTAAACTGGCATAATTCAAATCATTTGACAGGAAATTACAGTTCCCTAGAACTGTTTTAATGAATTCAATCAAAGCTTTGGCAGCCCAAATCCTTGATAACACAAGTAAAGTCATCATTCAAAAATAAATTTCAAATGGCAGTGCATTCTAAAACGTCTGTCAAAGACCTGCTTTAACTTAATAATGTTACAATGTAATTAAGGCTTGCTGTACTTTCTCTTAGCATTATCTGTGTAATTTCAGTAATTATATTGACCCGCTTTAGACTTCATGCAAGTCAATATTAATCATATAACTTGTGCCGATGTTGCCAAATACACCGTTACAACACAACATATCTGAATAACTAATGATATGAGACAAGAAAATGTCTGAATCCCAGTTGCAAAAATTTAAGTACCCAGGATGAATAGATCTATTGCCTAATGTCTTATAAACGATATAATAACACCTGTAAACATTGCGAGTCTGTTCTAAAAAAGTGTAGAATATGTGGAGTTGGTAACTGTAAACCCAGCCATAACATCAAGGTCATCAAACTAGGAAGTCTCCTCCATGACAGCTCTCTTTCTTTTCCTGTGGTTAATAACCATTTCAGACGTTTTCAATTGTTCTGAGGCTCTTGTTTCCCATCGTTGAAAATCTCTGAGTCCTTGTTGGCCACATTTAAAAAGGTCCCTTTCCATCTCATCTAATTTTGCAGTCAAATTTGTTGTATCCTCATAATATGCATTTTGGGAGGCATCCATGATCTTTCTTAATCTTGACTGGAATGTCTGAAATCAGTTTAAAGGAAAAGTAGTTAACAAATCAAAATGAAACCAAATAAAAGCAACTTTTATTTTTGGTTATTATTTAAGAACTGTTGTTCTTATAATAAACAGAAATAATGAGATACTGATTTAAGAACAGTCTTCTACATTAAGAGGACACGCGTGCTAAAGATTCTTGTAACAATCAATGAAAGAAAGCAAAATGGTTGCATACATAAACACCAACTCGAAATGTTTTTGCTTTAAACAAAAGCATAAATATACAAATATAAAGCTAAAGCTGGTCATAATCATATTTAATTGTTAATGAAAGTCAATAGAAATTTAAATGTTGAATAGTACACCTTTGGTTTCACTTACCAAAATGATACATGTGTAGCAGAATAACACTTACCTGTAACAGCGACTTGGCAATGTCAGGCGTTTCAGGAAGCTCGAAACACAATAAATGTGAACCAAAAGTATAGTAATATGGACCAAGTTTGTGAAGATCAACGACATTGGCATCTGCAGTGAGAATCTCCCTGTAACCCTCTTTATATTGTTTAGGCATGTCAACAGCCACAATATGACGTCGTCTGTTACATAGTGCGGTGGCAAGCCAGAATGGTAGCTCCAGCTTTGTGTTTGGTTGAATGTGATCGGTGTCACTCGATGAATCTAAAAAACCTGCAACATAACAATGACATTTAAAAAATATATCTATATCGTATCAGTGTGTGCATTAAGGAATAATTCTTATGTATCACTGTAGCTTATATTATATTAATAATGTACATTTTCAAATTTGGTACATCTAAGGGTGCATTCCCAGAGATTTACATCGATCCAGACAGTGTTTGCTTCTTAGGAAAATTAGTTGCTGGACCGAAAGTCCAGCCATCTTGAAAAGTAGCTGGACTGAATGTCTGCCGGGTGGGAAAACTTCTCAGCCTGTTCTGAAAGTTATCAGCACCGGGCAGACGGTCCAGCCTTAATTTCTAACACTGGATCCAGAGATTTAGATTTAGATCGACCTAACTCCCTTGGGATTCATGCTAAATTGCAGTCAGCCGATCGCGCACCATAGTTAATTACCCCCTTTCAGCTTTTAATAGGCGGGAGAGACGCTTAAGCCGGCTAAGCTGACAGTAATCTAGTGAGACTCCCCACAGGGATAGATCGATCTAAAATCTATGGAAATGGGGTCTAAGGCTTGGTCAATTAATAAATCTTATATCAGTTCACCTACCTAATCGTTGGACCTGCACTTGAAATTTACATGGTATGCGTTCATTTGTGCTTATGATATCATCAATACTCATATAGTTGGAACACGAGGTCGTCATTGTGCTTAAATCAACCTTAATAAAGTTGACGCACAGAAAGTAAAACTACAAACTTCCCCGCCAGCACGTTATTCTCGCTCATGTCTCGCACGGCGAGATTGGGAATCCGGGGTCATGTCCTTAGATCTTGATATCTCTCCGCAGTAAATTTCCATTAGTCTTTTGTAAAATATAATGCCATGCTTGATGTATTTTAATATAAAGAAGAGAAACATATGTAGCCACAATGATTTTAGATCTCCTCTACAAGGACAATCGTAACATTATTGATAATAAATAAGAACTAATTGACGCTAGACGGTGCTTCGGTTCAGGCGTGACCTTGACAGCTTATGTTGACGTCGGTGCTCACTGACATGTATTTTTGTTTTCCTTGACTCAGAATCGACACTTAGGTTTTACCAAACTTCGGTTCCATCAGTCAGTACCAAGAAGAAAAAATATGCCTGTGATATTCCTAGAGAGAATACCCTTGCCGAGTCTTCAAACGTATTCGGCTGTGACTTTTGTTTTGCTGTCAATCGCACTTTTGTATGGACACCGGAAAGTTGTAGAGCACCTTCCAGAAGAAATTCACGTTAGTGATGACGGTGGTGCCGTGGGTAGTCCGATGCCAGAGGTGCCCACGGAAGAACCCCGGGTTGACACGTCGTTTGATCCCAATGCATTTCATCAGGAATACCACGGGGATTATGCCCATAATATGGTCACTGCTTTGTTGGATGAAAGTTGGTGTGTATGGGTAAGTACTGTACTTGTAAACGACATTGTCATGTACATCATTATTGTAGAGAAGTAACAACTGTGTATCTAATTCCTTGCCTGTGCCTTAGCTTGACACATTGGCTGTTTAAATTTACATTGATATATTTATCTATATTGAATAAATATGACTTTTGTCACTTGGCAATACAGCATCAAACAATATTTAAATAACAGATGAAAAAAAAAATGTTCCAGTGCCACCAGCATAATGTTTTGACATAATTGCTCATCACATTTTTGTTTACTCAGTCATATAATATATGACTGAATTGTATATAATAACCTACTACATTCTAGATTCAGACTAATGCATAAGCTTGCCTCCCCTCAACCAACCAGTAAGAAAGAAAATTACTTTGAACACATGTGAAGCTATTTCAACAATATGTCAGTGGAGACATTCTTGTTGATGCACCAAAGCGACATGAAATTAATGACTCATTACCCATTCAAAAATAAAATAATAATAATTATAATAATAAATATAGTAAAATAAATAATAAAAATAAATGAATAAAAATAGATTATATAAATTGTGGCTAGCCTTTCCACACATACAAACATGAGCAAAAAAC